TAGGCATATGAGAATGTTGAGGAAATTTAGGGAAATTCTCATTGGTTTTTGTCCACCTATATTTAACCTCAGAAAAAAAACATATATTCCTCCGACACTCTTCGTATGCATAGATGTGTGTTAGTTACCCTCTGCCGAGATTTGACGGGCACCCCTCCAGATCGGCTGAGTTCCTTCGGATGGTCATCATAGAGAGTTGCTCTCTCCTCCTCATAGACAGAGCTCGGTTGTTGTTTAATAAATTCTATTTGAAAATGGAGAAGCGGCGGCATGAAAGTAGAGTATCATCGCAGATGAGCCATGCTGTGATGAGCGGTGTAGTGGTCGCTTCGGCGGCGGCTATGTTTTTACTCAGCAGTAGTAAAAACTCTGGCCATGCTAGTTGATATTACAGTGTGTGTGAATTTGATATGCAAATGTGTGGTATTTTTCCGAGATTAAACTATATCGCATATACAATGTAACAATGGCTATGAACATATGTTGTGATGAAAGTACCCGTTTGGGACTGTGATGATAGCGACAACTTGTTCACTATAATTTGTCCTACAAAATAACACACATTTGCATCGATCAATTTCACACGTACTGTACTATTTCTCTTTGGCTTCCCATACAGGAGATGTAAGATTTGTAGTATTCGTTCATGCTTGGTATTAATATAACAACACTGGTGTGAGGGTTGACCCTCAATTCTGCCGAAATAGATTTCACAATCCTTTCTCATACTACTCTTTGCGTTCTTCTCATCACAAGGGCTGTTTCCAGCAGTGTTGGAGTATGAATATATGTTCGCTTTCCTCACCTGAGCTCAGGAGTTTCCTATACAGTGTTGGAGTAGGAATATATATTCGCTTTCCTCACCTGAGCTCAGGAGTTTCCTATACAGTGTTGGAGTAGGAATATATATTCGCTTTCCTCACCTGAGCTCAGGAGTTTCCTATACAGTGTTGGAGTAGGAATATATGTTTGCTTTCCCCAGCTGAGCTCAGGAGTTTCCTATACAGTGTTGGAGTAGGAATATATATTCGCTTTCCTCACCTGAGCTCAGGAGTTTCCTATACAGTGTTGGAGTAGGAATATATGTTTGCTTTCCCCAGCTGAGCTCAGGAGTTTCCTATACAGTGTTGGAGTAGGAATATATATTCGCTTTCCTCACCTGAGCTCAGGAGTTTCCTATACAGTGTTGGAGTAGGAATATATGTTTGCTTTCCCCAGCTGAGCTCAGGAGTTTCCTATACAGTGTTGGAGTAGGAATATATGTTTGCTTTCCCCAGCTGAGCTCAGGAGTTTCCTATACAGTGTTGGAGTAGGAATATATGTTCGCTTTCCCCACCTGAGCTCAGGAGTTTTTGTCATAGAGAAATACTCTAGGATTTCTTTGAGGGGCAACACTGAACTGAGGTACTCTCTTGGAAGACATAATTGAACAAGTGTGTGCCAATTGCGTGCGCCAATGAATTGTGCGTTCTGCACTACTTGCGGTTGGCTAGTAGGCTTAACGCAGCGTGATCGGGAGATGTTTCACCATCTTATGTGTGTTGATTAAACGTCTCCCCCTCCCGCCCTTCCCTTGACGTTGGGGGACCCGGAGTGGTTACATTTTGGGGTTGAAATGCGGTTGAGCTTTCATCCTCTCGTGTAACTATGTCCGGTCTGCATACGTGAATCTGG